CTCCTACTGGCCCCTACTGGTTCCTTCTGGTTCCTACTGGTTCCTACTGGCTTCTTCTGGCTCCTACTGGCTCCTACTGGCTCTTACTGGTTCCTACTGGTTCCTACTGGCTTCTTCTGGCTCCTACTGGCTCCTGCTGGTTCCTACTGGCTCCTACTGGCTTCTTCTGGCCCCTTCTCGCCCCTTCTGGCTCCTACTGGCTCCTTCTGGCTTCTTCTGGCTCCTACTGGCTCCTACTGGTTCCTACTGGTTCCTACTGGCTCCTACTGGCTTCTTCTGGCTCCTACTGGTTCCTACTGGTTCCTACTGGCTCCTACTGGCTTCTTCTGGCTCCTACTGGTCTCTTCTGGGTCCTACTGGCCCCTACTGGCTCCTACTGGTTCCTTCTGGCTTCTTCTGGCCCCTACTGGTTCCTTCTGGCTTCTTCTGGCTCCTACTGGTTCCTTCTGGCTTCCTCTGGCTCCTACCGGCCCCGACTGGCCCCTACTGGCTCCTACTGGTTCCTACTGGTTCCTTCTGGCTTCTTCTGGCCCCTACTGGTTCCTTCTGGCTTCTTCTGGCTCCTACTGGCCCCTACTGACTCCTACTGGTTCCTACTGGTTCCTACTGGCCCCTACTGACTCCTACTGGTTCCTACTGGTTCCTACTGGCCCCTACTGGCTCCTACTGGTTCCTACTGGCCCCTACTGGTTCTTACTGGTTCCTACTGGTTCCTACTGGCCCCTACTGGCTCCTATTGGTTCCTACTGGTTCCTACTGGCCCCTACTGGTTCCTACTGGCCCCTACTGGTTCCTACTGGTTCCTACTGGCTCCTACTGGCCCCTACTGGTTCCTACTGGCCCCTACTGGTTCCTACTGGTTCCTACTGGCTCCTACTGGCCCCTACTGGTTCCTACTGGTTCCTACTGGTTCCTACTGGCTCCTACTGGCCCCTACTGGTTCCTACTGGTTCCTACTGGTTCCTACTGGCCCCTACTGACTCCTACTGGTTCCTACTGTGGTAATCTGGACAATATTACTGTCCATTAGCTCCTCTGCACACACAGTACTGTCCAACTTCTGTCTGCAGACGTGTTTGTATGTGTTGTTATAAACTGGTATTGCTAACAGTGGCTAATGGCTATAGGTAAATGCAATGCACCATCATTTGTCTTTATCCTGACTCACAGCTAATAACTAGCTACCACAGACAACAATATGTTAGCTTTTTATAGGTGGTAGATGTTAGATAACTACAAAAAGTTAGCATATAACATCAATTTAATTTAATAACGTAACATAAATAACCAGTGGTTCGTGCAGAAACATAAATATTGGACGATATTATCAGTTTATTTAACTGTCAAAGATCAATATGTGTGTCAGCCTCTTAAATCCAGAACAACCAACTAACATCCAACAACAGCAACCTGCAGCCGGATCCACAGCAGGATATTTGTACGTTCAATCAGAACAATGATAATTCACACAGCATTAATTTCCCTCTGTACGTATCTGTGGGCAGAGACACTGAGCAAGAGGACGAGGAGCTTCTTAAAAGGAGCTGCTCCACCGGAGACTCTAATCTGTGGTGTGAAGTAAAACAAAGTCTGAGAGAGGAGGCAGACTCAGGGAAACCAGGCCTTAAATGGAAGTGTGGGAGAGGAGAGGAGTTCTGAACATCCCCCCCCAGCATCCCCCAACATCCCCCAACATCCCCCTCCACTCATTTCTCTGCTGTCAGCTCACATCTGCTGCTTCCACTGAGTCTGTCCACCGCAGTGAGATAGATCAGACCAGAGTTTACTGAAGCTTCAGATCTTTTTTATTGTGTTTGAGATTTGTGATCCACTTTATATTTGTGTCTCTCTCTTTTTTTTGCTTCAGGCTGTAGTTTGTTGTTATAGGAGCAGTTTTCTCCAGATGTTTCATGTCAGCGTAGCCACATAAAGCTAACAGGCTGCGTCTGGCTGGGTGTTTATGACGGGTCAGTTTTATGGTAGCTATAAACCGTTAGCTGAGCTTAGCACAAACACTAGAAACAGGGGGAAAATGCTAGCCAGTGTAGCAACAAACAGCTATCACAGAGAACAATTTGTTATAGGTAGTAGATGATAGATAAAAAGTTACCGTATATAACATTATATATAACAACCCAACAATGTTTTACCAGGGCCTGTTTAGCGTAGCTTAGCACAAAGACTGGAAGCAGGTAGAAACTGCTAGCCTAGCTCCATCAGAAGACAACAAAAGCATTTTGCTAAGAACTGTTAACTGATGAAGTCATTTTAATTTATGTGAGCGCTCCTCTGCAGTCTCTCTGTGAACATTAGACAGTCAGGGAGGACAATTAGCATCAAATGCTGCTGAAACAGGTTTTGGTTTCACTTTTGAAGACTTTTTGAATCGCGTCCATCTTTATATTTGTTGATGACAGCTAACTTTAGCATAGCTACGTCCCAGAATGCTCCACATTTTACAAATAATAACTGTAAACAGGCTGATATATGAATACATAACATAAAGAGTTTCTTTATTTCTGACATTAATATAGTTCACTGGTTCCCAACCTGTGGATCGGGACCTCCTCTAGGGGTCGCAAAAGCTTCACTGGGGGTCGCGAAGCCATCTTCATTTTAAAGTGTGTAAGAAAACTTAAAAATATCTACAGTAGGCCGATATCTCCGTGTTTGTTCATTTCCGTGAAGAAAACTAAATAAAATGATTTATTCACTGTTTGTGTTCATTGTTCAGTTCATCAGCTGCTGTTATTGATACTGATCAATACGAAATATATATAAAATATAGTCAGTGACAGAACAGGTTGGAACCACTGATACAGTTCACCAAAGTACTCCTGGTTCAGCTTTCATGCTTCAGAAACTTAGACACAGAGTGCATGTGAGTCCACCACTGAGGTATGCACACACACACACACACACACACACACACACACACACACACACACACACACACACACAGTCACACACACACAGGCACACACACACACACACAGGAAGGATTACAGTTGGATCATAAAGATAAGAGCAGATTTTCCACTGAGAGCAGAAGAGCATTAAACAGTCGCTGCAGACAAACTCAGGTCTGTTCGAGGCAACGTTCTCACAATGCGACCGCTGCTACGAGCCAATCACAACACAGCAGGAAATGACACAGAATAACGTAGCGACACCGCACACGGCTTTATGTTTGGCTGTGTGATCGGCACGTCTTCAGATCCCACAGAGAGCGCCTTCCAACCACACAAATCAGACTGACGCGAGAGGGTCTCAGCTTTCGTCACAAATACACCAGCTGCATATTCTGGGCAAGTTTAGCATAGCTTAGCACAAAGACTGGAAGCAGGTAGAAACTGCTAGCCTAGCTTCATCAAAAGAGAACAAATCCATCTTCAACCATCCAGGTAACCCAACAAACTGATATAATAATAGAATATAATTAGCTAAAGATATGACGACACATGTTAGTAGTTAATAAAAACTAACTTTAATAAACTTTTAAATGCAACCAGACCAGTGAACTCTGTATTGATCACAGTTATCAGCACTGATATCTGGAGGGTTGTTGGTGCGATACATTGAATCAGAATCCAACATTTGTGATGAGCATTCATTCATTAATGATGAAGCAGAAAAACCAGGAAGTAAACTAAAGCAGATATCTGAAAGTCTGTCTGTCTGTCTGTCTGTCTGTCTGTCTGTCTGTTTGACTTTAGGACGCAGAGAGGAAATCCTTCCTGATCAACCAAACTCCATTCAGAAAACAAGCGTTTTAACAGCTGTAAGCTCGTCAGAGTCTAAATTCAGACTTTCTACAAATCAGCATCATGATGTCGTTTTTTCAGCATCATATTGATCCGTTTATTGACAATAAATTACAGAAACAACTGATTATTTTAGGGTCAGACTGAGTGAGACAGACCAGAACAGATGACATCATAAAGTAATACCAATATATGATATTGATTACTATATTAAGTCATCCAGCAATCAGCACTAACAGTATGTAGACTGATATATTGATCAGCAGTAACACTGTGAGCACTGGACTCCCTGACTGGTCCCAGACCAGCAGACTGCTCTGCACTGTGTGTTCTGACCCCTTTCTATCAGAACCAGCATTAACTGTTTCAGCAGTCTGAGCTACAGTAGCTCGTCTGTTGCATCGGACCCCACGGGCCAGCCCACCCCCCCCACCTGCATCAATAAACCACAAACCCGTTCCCCGGTTCACTTTGTCAGGGAGTCCATACTGACTCCCGTCCACTGTCCACCTACAGTGTGAGCATCAGAACCCGGAGCAATGGAAGAAGGTGGTTCAGGTTTTCTTTAACATTTTCTGGATAATGTGTGTTTGTTCATGTCAATAAAGTTCTTTTAATTGAATATTAAATACTTCATTAATCTGTATGATCCTCCTGGAACTGAGATCACAATCAGTTCCTGTCTCACTCACTGAGGGCTGATGGGAAATGTGGTCCTAATGTTCAGCAGAGAGCTGCTCTGATAATCTGACAGTGATAGTTTCAATGATACACACACACTTTAAAATAGAAAGCAGTGTGTGTGTGTGTGTGTGTGTGTGTGTGTGTGTGTGTGTGTGTGGGAACCAGTGATCCCAGCCTGCAGCTCCATATTGGGACAAAAGGAACGAGGCTGCTGCATATTTTGGAAACTCACTCTCTGAGGTCGGAGTCGCCTTCTTGGACTTCTTGTCCGCTGGAGAGTTTTCTGCCGGGTCTGCAGGAGGGCGAGAGACAGACAGATAGAGAGACAGACAGAGAGAGAGAGAGACAGAATTAACAGTTTAATTAAAATGACAGCAGTTTAAGATTAAGAACTGAAGTGTTCGTATCAACAAATCAGAAAACAAAACAGAATATAACCTTTAAATATAATTATAAAAGGACAAACTGAAGATAAAGGCTCCAGACATCATATCAGATTTTATGGAAGACAGAAAGTTCACTAAAAGTTTCCTTGCAATAGTTTTAAAGCTGATCGTCTGTTCCACACAGTAACAAGTGAAGGTGCAGAACCTGTACCAACATTTATACCTTTAGCTTGTATTGATCAGCTAAAACTGATTTGTCCATAATAAGTGAATGCTGTAAATCAAGTGTTAAACAGCTGCACTTCCCACAGCAGACTGCAGGGGACCAAACAGGTTGTACTACCCAACTCTGCAGGGGCTCCATAAGGGAGGGTGTCATCATAAAGTTTAATAAATACAGAACAACAAGTTCCCAAATAGGTCGACAATAAAACAGAGATAATACTTAAATACCGTAAACACCCGGGCGTTTATCTGCTTCAATCACTGAACCCCCCAGCCTTTATTAGGGACAGGCCTTTATTGGGAACAGGCCTTCAGCACAAACTCAGCACAGATGGAAATACTCTCTAACTGCTGTTCAGTTACGACTAACAGGTAACTTGCGTTAAATTTAAGGTAATATTTTTTTCTCGGTGCCACCGCCATGACGCTGAACATGAACGTGGTTTTATTGCAGCTGAAGATTTACGGCAGCCGGCGTACAGACAGTAAACAGACAGCGAGCAAAAGACTGCACATGATAATATTCACAACTTTTAATTTAATGAAACACTTTGTTCTGATAGGTGGACCCTGACGGACTAAAGGAATATAAATAACGGAGGAACGGACCGTACGGACTTTATGATCTGGGCTCTCTTACAGTGAGCCGCTGAGTCTGAATGAATGAACGTTAAACTTTAATGTTCACAGTTTCAGTAAAATGAAGGATTGAACTGTGGAGAATCTAACTGATCCGATTGGTTTTAAGAGGTTTTATACATCCAGATAATTTCTGTAAAAACCAGACCAGGCCTCTATTGGAGACCTGTGTATATTTGTCAAACCATGGAGCCACACCAGGCTTTTAAAGGAAGCTGTCTATCTGGGACCCTTTTATTGGAAGTTTTACGGTAAATAAAAATGGGAGAAATTTCACTCTGCTACACTGACAATTAGATACTTGATTTAATGAATAAAATCACTCAGATTTGTTCAGTTATGTTTCCCTTTCTGTCAGCTATGATTCTGTACCTTTAAAACAAGACAAAGGTCAGCAGTTATCACCTTAACAACCTTACAGGGTACTTTTCTGACAAATGTAGAAATGATAGCCCAAAACTAATTGAATAAACTTAATTAAATCCTCTATTTTCGAAGTGATTAAACTACTTTCTGTTGTCAACTTAATTTTATAGAGTTGATTTAACTAATTTTACAGTTGTGAAGATTCAAGCAAATTAAGTTGAATGTTTTAATCCTTAAAGAAATAAACTAATCACATGAAATATTTTATATGATTTAATTAAGTTCATTTTTGAGTTTAAACAAACAACCAAAGTCTTCTGACATCTGTCATCTGACTGAACAAACACAAACCAATTATTTAACTAACATAAACACGATAGATTAATCTTTTTAATTTAATACGAATGAACTGATCACACAATCTGGATCAATCTAGGAGGTTTTTTTAGATATCGACGGCTGTAAAGAGTTCGATTGATCAGTTTTATTGTAAATTATCTGTAAATACAAATATATTGATCAGCAAACAGCAATCAGACAATAAACTGAATAAACCAACATAAACCAAACTCCATTCACTTTTCTGCTCATTTAACAGATTTTAATAAACTTTGAGCTTTCTGATCAAATCTCGTGAATTAAAATATAAAAATGTGTTTATTGATCCTCTCAGTCTGCTGCTCTGATCAACAGTGAAATATCAAAACTGTTAATAAAGTTTCCAGAAGCTGAATTGTCCATTCAGGAATGTTTCCAGGAATCAACTATGAGATAAACGTTTGTGTTGATTTACTCTAATTACAGGAAACTGCTGAGGAATCCTGGGAAATGAGGAGGAGGAGGAGGAGGAGGGATCTTTGTTTCTTTTTCTCTGCAGAAATGAACAGTTTTGAAAAGTTTTTTTATTTCTTCCAAGAAGTTCTGATGTAGTTTATAGTTTCGTACAAACGCAGGTATTCAGTTTGATAACTGGCTAAGGCTAAAGATGAATATTTATAGAAATAAATGAACACTTGATGTCCAGATTATAAACTGAATTAAAGAAAAGCTGAGAACAACTAAGAATGTGTTAAAATGTGGTTTCACATTAAATATCGGATAATTAATTCACAGTAAAACCTCTTAAAGTGCGACATTTTTAAAGGGAGTTTTGTATGTTTCTTGCTTTATGACCTCAGTTGTAAACATTAACAATAAAAAAGGTTCATCAGTGCCGTTCCTAGATGATTCTTTTGTTTGGTTTGCAAATATAAACATAAAGAATTATGAAGATGAGTTTTTCTAGAAAAAGCTCAATTAAAGACAAAATCATTATGATTAGGAATAAAGTTTTACTACTAATATCTAATGTTCACACAAACTCTTAAAGTGCCTCATGTTTCTAAAGGGAGTTTTGTGAGGGAGTTACAGTTCACTGCTTGTTTGTCTTAATTTGACAGGAAATCTATTAAATATTTGGGGTTGTGAATGTTTATATAAGTTTGGCAACAATTGAATAAATAATATAATAATAATAGTTTTGACTGAAGTCGCTGAGACAAACAAAAACTAAGAAGATGGATATTTAATTATTTACCTAAATAATTAGTTTAGTTACTTTCTCTCATAATGAGAGAGGGTCAGATCAGATTGTTTATTGTCTAAAGAAAGAAAATGTCTTTTCTGCACACTGCAGGAAATTCAACAAATAACATCTGACTGAAAGTGAAACTGAAAGGTTGAAGTCAATCAGAATCAGAATCAGAATCAGAAATACTTTAATAATCCCCGTGGGGAAATTACTTGTAGGGGGGGAGGAAAAGGTACAACAGCAGAAAACTTTTAAAATATAATATTATTAATAAGTTTAGATGGAGTTTCTATATTAATACAGAAGCTCCACATACAGTAATAACAAGGCTTGTGACTTTCTTCAGAAATAAATTAGTTTTATTTACAATTTTAGATACTTTAAAGGACCGGTGAGTATTTAGTAACATCGAACTGTAGAAACATGGCTAACTCCACCAGAAGAACACATCTCAATCTGAGGTATCGAAAACACAACAATTCTTATTTTCAGGTGATTAAACGCTAATGTAAACATACCTATGGATATTATATTAATGTTCCACACTGGAGCTTTAACGTTTATGAAGAACGTTTCTTACCGTCAACGAGAACCATACAGGAACATTCAGCTTTCCCTGCTGAGTTCTCGGCTCTGCACTTATACTGTCCTTCATCCTCTGGCAGAGCTTTACCGATGGTCAGAGAGCACAGCCCGCCTGAAACACAACACAGAGACAGTCAGCACTCACAGGAAAGGTTCTGGTTAACAATGTTCATCAATTAATCAATCTGGAGATTCATTGATCAGCCGGTAAACTTTCTATATCAGGTGGTAAAACCTTTTTTTATCATAAAATCTTATTTTATTTAAAATGTAAATGTATGACTAACAGTCCAAATAGAACCTGTTTCATTTGAAATTAGTGCAGAAAATGTCTGTATATGAAATAATGTTATTTAAAACTTATTAACTTATTATCTAAATTATTAAAATGTTCATTAATGTTAAGTTAAGATGTTATTGAGTCATCTTAGATCCACTATCAAGGAAATCTGATCCAGCTGCAAGAGAAGCATATCTTACTAAATGAAAAGGTAACTTAAAATCAATAGAAAATGTGAATACATCCACAAATATTTTGACATTTTTTGGGCAGTGAAGTTAGAAATAGTGTTAAAAAATAACTTAAACTATTAAAAAAAATTATTAAACACTCAAAAATATCCATTACATCAATTTTAAAAAGACTTTTTAAAAGTATTGTTTTTGTCATTAAACAGTTACTGAAGGTTTCAGCTGTGTTTATTGATTATTTACTGTTTATTGATCTGTTTGTTGTTTCTCTGTCAGCAGTCTGATCAGCGTACTGGTCGACATATTAACGAGCTCTGAACCGATTTAAAGATCATTGATGGTATCTGATCAGTTCCTGATGAGTTTGTAAACTGGATCAATAATTTCTTCCCGTTTTCAATCACATTTCACTGCATACAGAAATATAGGATGACTAGCTGTACTTAGTTACTTTCTGCAGGAAATAAAACGTTAAAACCCGACATCCTCAGACACAGACTGACTCCAGCTGTCTGTCTGTGTGACCTCTGACCTTTAACATCAGTCCTCACTGTGCTCAATAAACACACACACACCCACCCACCCACCCACACACACACACACACACACACACACACACACACACACACACACAAACACACAGTTGGATCAGGGGCTGTCCTCCAGACTGAAATAACAGGAGGGATTACACACACACACACACACACACACACACACACAGGGAATCCTCATTTGTTCATTATCTCACACACACATTCAGATTTAGCAGCGATTTGTTGCCGTATCACACTGCAGGACATCAGTGGGTGCTTCTATCTTTGTGAGGACATTCTGGCTGTTTTATAACAGATAAACAAACAATCAATATTTTATCTGACAGCATGAAGGAAGTGACGTCCACAGGTCTGCAGTTAGAAAAGTGAATAATAAATGAACTTGTTTTGATGGTTTAAAGGTACTGTATGGAGTTCTGATGTCATTCTGTAGTCCAACCCTGAACTTCCTTCCACAAACAGCCAATGAGATTATTCCACTGGATTATTACAGGAAAGAATCCTGAACAAACATTTATGTTTTATTCATAATCTTCACTGATTCATTTTTTTGAATATTTTTATTTTGCTTTAGCTTCTTTTAGCTTAGCTGTGTTTAGTTTAGCTCCTTTAGTGAGTCTCCCTGTTTTAATGACAATGACAATCTTTGTTGTCTCATTTAGACGCTCATTAGCAACCAAAGGTTCAACACTCACAGGTGAGGAATTTATTGACGGATTTTATGTAAATATAAACAAAAAGTGAAAATCACAGAACTTATTTCAACACTAAAAACACAATGAATGAATGAATGAATGAAGCCTGGAGCTGTGTGAAGAGCTGAATCAGCTGAAGTGAACTGTTGTTTTCTATACTTTTCTTGTTTTTCTGAGATATCCTGACTACTTGAAGTTAAAAGTCTTGGCGTCATCTTGGACAGTACTCTCTCACTCACATCCCACATCAACAACATCTCAAGTACATCCTTTTTCCATCTCCGCAACATCTCCAGACTTCGGCCCTCCCTCACCCAGCACTCCACTGAAGTCCTCATAAATGCCCTGGTCACTTCTCGCCTGGACTATTGTAACTCCCTCCTCATTGGTCTACCACAAAAGCTCATCCACCGTCTACAAACCATCCAGAACACCGCTGCCAGAATCATAACACGTAGCAAGTCCTCGGATCACATCACACCAGTGCTCATTCACCTCCACTGGCTCCCTGTCCAACAACGGATACAATACAAACTCCTACTGTTAACATGCAAAGCTCTCCATAACCAGGCCCCCCCATATCTCTCCAGTATGCTACAGCCATATATCCCATCCCGTTCACTCCGTTCCTCTTCTACCGCCCTGCTTTCCACCCCTTCCTTCTCACTTACCTCAATGGGTGCTCGGGCTTTTAGCTGCTCTGCACCTAGACTCTGGAACTCACTTCCACTACACATCCGCTTTCTGGACTCCATTGACACTTTCAAGTCTCAACTCAAAACACACCTTTTTAAAAAGTCTTACTTGCTATAAATACTCTGGCCCCCAACTGTTTTACTCTCTGCATTCATTTATTTAGCCACACTGTATTTTCTTTGTAATTGTATATGTATTCTATATGTATTTACTGTGCTGTGTATTTTATGCCTATTTCTGCAGTTGTTGTTTTTTACCTGTAAGGTGACCTTGGGTGTTGTGAAAGGCACCAACAAATAAAATGTATTATTATTATTATTACATTTCCCACAATGCACTGAGGCAGTGTCTTTCATTAGATAAACAGTCCGACCCTCCAGTTTGTAACGCACACTGTTTGTTGTCTGATGACATCACAGTGACATCACCACAGGCGCCATCATACAGCTGTTTCCGCAGGCTGAGGACCAACCAGGAAACGATTAATTGATTAATTGATCAGAAGAATAGTTTCAGTTTCAGATTCTCCAAAATAGATATTAAACATTTTTTTAGAGTAAACTGGTTAAAATCTCCCCGATAAAGATTATTCTCATTGTCGATAAATTGTTATTCTCTGGCATCCATCCTCATGTTGTATATATAATTATTATATATATATATATATATATATTTAGTATAATGTTACACAACATATGTGTATATAAAATGTGTATCTGTATTTTTCTATTCTTATTTCTATTGTTTTGTATTTTGAGCTGCTGAAACAAATTAATTTCCTTGTTGGTGTAACTGATTTTATCAACACAGCTGTAGTAATATAAACTATGTATTTATGGGAGAAGTTATGCTAAACTTCAATAAACACTCCTTCCTGTGTGTTTATTAACCATTTAACACCTGTTTTCTTATACTGATTATAAGTCATAAATAGAAAACATATTTTTATCTGGACAAATTTGTAAAAATAACATTTTATTATGAGCGTCCCCTTAAACGACAGCAGTAACAAGTCTGGGACCTCACAAGTGTGATAAAACAAACGTGTGTGTGTGTGTGTCAGTGTGTGTGTGTGTGTGTCAGTGTGTGTGTCAGTGTGTGTCAGTATGTGTGTGTGTGTGTGTGTGTGTGTGTGTGTCAGTGTGGTTGTGTGTGTGTGTGTGTGTGTGTGTGTGTCAGTGTGTGTCAGAGTGTGTCATTGTGTGTGTGTGTTAGTGTGTGTCCTATGTAAAGCGATATGAAATACCAACATCACATCCTGTCTCTCTCTCTTTCTATTGTTTCAGATCTGCTTTCTATTAATAGAGTCTGAATCCATCAACAGTTGCTTCACCTCCTCCTCTTCCTCCATACTCACTAACTCACAAAACTTTATTTTAACTCCCGTTAACGCTTACAGAGCAGGTGTTTATCTGTGTGTGACCTCTGACCTTCGTTGGCAAGGATGATGAACTTGGACGGTTTGATGGTCTTCCCGTCCAGCGTCCAGGTGACGGTGGCGCCCTTGGGGTCGGCGCCAGCGAGGCGGCACTGCAGCCGAAGCCGCTGCCCGTCCAGCACCGTCACATCACTCAGCTTCTCCACAAACTCCGGCGCCGTCCCTCCTCCTCCGCCGCTGCTCTTCTTCTCGTTAATCCCTCCATCCACGCAGTTGTTCACCGCCGCCTTCCCGTTGTCCCCGTTCTTCTCGGGGCTCGTCGCTGTCTTCTTGTTGGCGAGGACAGTGCGGAAGTCTGCGGCGTTCTTTCCGGGTGTCTCTGCGGGTTTGTTGGCAGCAGCACCCTTCTTCCCCAACACGGCACGGAAGTCGACCTGCTGTGGGGAGTTGCCCTTGCGGTCATCCTCCGTCTTGGCTTTGACGCCTTTGAGGTTGGACTTAAAATCCATCTGGTGGCGTTGGCGGTGCTCGGCGGTGGCGGTGGCCTCCCTCGGCTCCTCTTCCTGGTTGTTTTTGGCGTTAAAAGCTCGGCGTCCCAGAAGGGAACGGAAGTCGAGCTGCTGCGCCTCCCTCTGTCGCAGCTCCTCTTCGCCACGCTCCCTGGTGTCCACACAGCGTTTGAGGTGGCCTCGGGGAGCGGCGGTGGCGGCGAGAGAGTCCTGGTCAACCTCCTTCTTCTCCTCCTTCTGCAGGTGCAGGTTCTCCTTCTGCTCCTGGTTGGCCTCCTGCCACTGCCGACTGACACCAACACTGCCGCTGCTCCTCTGCTCCACGCCTCCTCCTCCTCCTCCTCCTCCTCTGGCACCTCCTCTCAGCGCCGCGGTCCCACTAGCTGCTCCTCCTCCTCCTCCTCCTCCTCCTCCTCTTCCTCCTGCTGCAGGGCTGGACGAACGAGCACAGACACAGATGGAGTGAAAGAGAGAGAGAGTAAACAGAGCTGGTTAAAGCCCCTCGGAACAGGAGGCTCCGCCCCCTACAGGAGGAGGAGGAGGGGGAGAGGAGGCGAGGAAGAGGACCTCGACTCAAAATGTCCACGTTACATCACAAGTGACTCGACTGCCCTTATATGGACATACACCCAGAACGGCCTGAACACACACACAGATGTAAACACAAGTGAAACTGGACACACACACACACACACACACACACAGAGACACACACACACACACACACACACACACACACACACAGAGACACACACACACACACACACACACACATACAGACACACACACACACACACTCCCAGTCCTCCCAGTTCCTGTATGAGTCCAGCTCCAGTTCTCGTTTTCAAACTCACTGAGGTTTTCTTTAAACCGAAAACTTTTGAGACAAAACTCTTCATCACTTCTGTCACATCCACCCTCTTCCTCACACTCACACACACACACACACTCACACACACACACACACACACACACACACTCACACACACACACACACACACACACACACACACACACACACACACACTCTGTAAACAGTGCATCCAGCTGGGAGAGAGAGAGGAAATACTGGCTCTGATTGGTTTGGTTGATATGGACGGATTAAGAAGCTTTAGGGAATCTCTGGATATAGGACAGACAGACAGGCAGACAGACAGGCAGGCAGACAGACAGACAGATATATGGATGGATGAGTGGATGAATGAGATGAAGCTCAGTATGGAGGCGGATGAGAGGATGTTTGAATGATGATAATCTTTGAATTCACGTTTTCCTGTTTACAAACACTGGAGGATATTTTCACTGTCGTCCTCATAATTACCCCCAACTGAACCCCCCTCGCTGCACCCTGAGCCGAGAGCGCTAACACAGAGCTAGCTCCACAACACACAGCTAACAGTGGCGTCTTAAAGAGCAACATTAGCATTAATGAACTAACATTAGCATAAAGAGTGTCAGGATTTAATAAATGTTATTGATCAGCCATTATTGATCTAATGAGACAGATCACAAAGGACGCTAACAGCAGCATTCAGTGTGATTGATCCTCTGAGGAACAGGAAGTTATTGATACACTGACAGACAGCATCGATGCTAACAGCTAAAGTTCCTCTCACCTGTCGTCCTCTCCTGCTCGTCCTCCTCGTCCTCTCGTCCTGTCTGTCTCTCCGTCAGTGACAGACAGACAGGCCAAAGCGCTGCACTCCCCCACATTGTTCCTGACACACAGACAGGTTCAGTGCCTTGCTTAACAGCACAACATCAGACAGTTAATGACGACTTCCCTTCTTATAGGACCTCAAGAGACTACTGATAACTACTGCTGCAGTAATCTGTGTGGTAGAGAACCCTAAATACCCGGAGAACCCCAACTTATACTGTCACTACCCTCTACAGTACCTGAAGCAACAAGTAAAATATTCTGATATGTTCCTATAAATTATGACCTTCTCTAGTACACATAGTACCCTAGTTAGTACCCTAATTAGTACCCTAGTTAGTACCCTAGTTAGTACCCTAGTTAGTACCCTATCCCAAATAAACCCTACTACAGAAACTGATACATAATGTTTATTATTCTTATTTCTTTGTACAAAAACATTAGTATCCATATAGTTTTCCTGTACCCTAGAATAATATGTAGTGCCCCTCCCAGTACCCTACCAAATACATATAAAAACTCTGTGACATCCGCCTGGTACCCGACCTAGTGCCCTCGTACTCTCGTATGTTTCCCTGTGCTGACCTGGATATGCTGGTTCTCTCTCTAATAAAAATATTCTAAACTTCAACACTCAGTTTCTTACAAAGTCAATGTTTGTTTCATATTTAAAGTGTTGTGATTAATAACTAATAACCACTGCCTGCATTGGACCAAAAATGGTGCCAGTACCCTCATTCACCACAACATAACCCTAATTCTTTTGGAAGTGTTTTAACAAGGACATTTTTGGTGCTGTTTTATTAGCGTTAAGCTAGCTGCGTGTGGATAACCTCATTAGCATTGCTGCTGGGTTTTAAAAGTACCAAAGTCCAAAAACTGAACTTGCAATGGAAAGTTTGGGGGCATCACAGCATCAAAGCAGTTGTTTTTAATTATTTCATGACTTTTATTGTGTAACTCTGTAATAGACTGATGTCCAGACCCTGCTGCCCTCAGTGGTGCGTACGGTGGTGGTACTCAATAAGAAGTAAGTATGGAAGCCCAAAATAATTATTCTGTAAGTTATTATATTCAGAAACTCAAAATAATTACGTTTTATTATTATTTTGCGATGTTCTGCAGCAGTGTCTGAAGTCTCAACATATTTCTGGAACGCCATTAAAATAGAAACCGAAAAGGACCCAGGACAGTTCCCTGTGGGATTCCTGTTTCACTTCAGTAAACAGTTCAGGCACTGATTTTTGTCCATATGAGTACCCTTACTTAAGGAAGCTAGTTTCTGGCAATGTGATGAAAAATAATACATAATATGTAATAATATATAATGACTGAGATATTAAGTCATTATTTTAATTAAGTTTATCATCATAGAATTGTTTTTAAGAAATGGGCTTCCATAAGTAAGGGTACTCATATGGACAAATATCAGTGCCCTTACTGAGTACTGGTTAGTACTGACCGATTTCAGGACCTGCTAATAATCAAGTCTGCTTTATACAGAACAGGAATCCCCCAGGGAACTGTCCTGGGTCCTTTTCAGTTTCTGTTATAAGTATAATAAGTATAGTACAGATATCTTGTATAATTAAAAAGAAACAATGAATAAATGTTTTTTATCAGTGTATAAGCATTTATAGCTCATTTCAATGTTTTTAAATATCTTTTATAGAAAGATTGTATATAAAATTAAAGCTAAAAACTGTATTTTAATTATAGACTATTACTGTATTTTTACTAGGCAGTATTCTTTTTACGCTCAGCTGCCAGAATATTAACGTTTTATTACATTTATTTTGTTTTTGGTGTCATTATTTGAATAAAAGTAAATGTATCATCACTGTTAGACCTCTGAAGCTCTGATAGTGTCCATGTCTTTGTGCTGTGGTTGGATGTGATTCACTGTATGTAAAGTGTAACACAAACAGAAACATGTGTTGATGTACATCAGGAATGTTAATATCTACCTACTGACCCTTTTAAGGCTTTCTTTAGAAGAACCATACAAATGATTAATAGACTTTCCACCAGCACCGGAGCATCTGAACCTTTATGTCTCCTCATAAATAATAATTAACATAATAATAAATGAAATGAAGAAGTAGAAACATTGGGATAAAAATGACGGCGTGCAGAATGTAAAGAGGATGGACAGATTAAGGGAGGGGGAGGGTTTTAATCCTCACTTCATCTGCAGAATCACTGAGATTATTTTACATCTGCTTCTTTCTGCTTTTATCAGTGAGACTTATTTACCTTCAGTACACTGTTTGTTCTATGTCAGGTTGTGTTTGTTCTTATTTCATGTGTTTTTATAGTGATGTTTGGTCTGATGCAGCAGTTCTTTAAAGCCCCAATGAAACAGGAAGAGTTGTTTTCTTCCTCATGTTTCCTGTAAAAACGATGTCGATATTGATTGGTGTTTACAGCCAATAGTAGCTAGCGCTGTGAGCTAGCATCAGCGTCGACTTTCCAGTGAACACAGCCAGGACCGAACACAGTCTCTGAGACAGGAAGTGGTTTTCTTGTCGGGTTTGGCTCCTGGCATCCCGGGGTTGAGTCAGCTCGGTTAGCTAGCTTTCAGATATAATTAGCTAGCTCACTACATAGGGTTTTGTTATGGAGCAGAATGTTAGCTGACTTATTACAGAGAGAAACACCAGTTTCAGTATCAGTCATTAGTTACATCTGAAAGCTAATGTTAGCATTGTGGAGGAAAGCACCAACTAATCTACATCAGTCGTAGTCATCAACTACTTTTATTGATTATCAGGAAACTCTAAAGCTCCATTAAGAATACCTGAAACAGAACTTCCTGTTGGACAGAAACTGGAGGAGACACATAAAAACTCTTCAGTATTGATTGATGGGGACTTTAAAGACATTGATCTCGTATTGGAGATAATAAAGGAACCGTACACATACGAATATGAACAGTGTGAGTCGCTGTCTCACCTCAGCGTGATCAGATAATCTCCAGCGTGATGCTTTTTCACTCTCCTGATGAAGAAGAGGAAGAAGAGGGTTTAGTTTCTGCATCTGAAGGTTTATAAATGTCTCTTATATAACAGTCTGACCTGATGAGCAGCGAGACCACGTCCTCCTTCTGCAGCAGCTCGTAGTCTCCTCCAGAGCTCAGGGTCCGGCTCAGGTCGGCTCTGGTCCAGGTGTACTGTGGGAACGGGTCCCCGGCGATGGCACAGGACAGGAGGACGTGCTGACCCACGACGCCGCTCACAGGCTTGGGTTTGGTGATGAACCAGGGCTGGACCCCGTCCTGGGGCTCTGCCACAGAACCACAGAGACGACCAAATATCATCATCATCATCATCATCATCATCATTATTATTAATAATAATAATGATGTGTGTGTGTGTGTGTGTGTGTGTGTGTGTGTGTGTGTGTGTGTGTGTTACCCTCCACAGTGAGCTGGCACTGGGTGTGGTCCTCTCCGTACTGGTTCCAGGCCTGGCAGCTGTAGGTCCCGGTGTCCTCGGGGAAGACTTCCTGGATCAGCAGAGTGCAGCGGTTCTCCTCCTGCAGGAGGTGGAAGTCCTCCGACTCCGTCACCTCCTGCCCGTCATGGAGCCAGACCACCTCTGGAGGAGGGTGACCTGGAACACACAGTGACGACGTTCCTGAGAATGTCGTCTTATTGGTTCTTAAATACTGTTGGTGTTAGCATGTTAGTATGTTGTTCCTAGCAACAGGAGGCCGCTGCGGCAGTGATTGGTCCTTCCTAAGCCCCGCCCCCCTTTTTGCTATTTGCTCCAGATATCTTTTAACCATCTTTACAATGTGGCTGTCATTCCAACATACATTAGCCTAACATATAGCATATCTAAGTACAGGAAAGGAGGAAGTTGACCGAGGCTTGCTCAACTGTGATTGGAGCACATAGTAAAAGGGGGCGGGGCTAAGGAAGGATCAATTATGACTGATATTGACAGTATCATCACCTCACTGAATAAAGTCCAAATAAATTCTGTTTTAAATAAAGTTTCCCAAACAGCAAGAAAGTTAATTTGAGGATAACGTTGAGATATTAGAGAGCAGCAGAGCCGATCGTCACACAGCTTATATGGAGAAAACCCTCTGTGGAAAATCATTATGTAACACACACACACACACACACACGCACGCACGCACGCACACACACACACACACACACACACACACACAGACACACACACACAGACACACACACACACACACACACACAGACACACACACACGCACACACACACACACACACACACACACACACAGACACACACACACACACACACACACACACAGACACACACACACAGACGCACACACACACACACACACACACAGACACACAAACACACAAACACACACACACACACACACTCATGGTTCATTATATGGAGACTTTATAGTTCACTCTATACCACCTGATAGTCAACTCATAACTCACAGCCAGTGACAACCAGAACAGGACTGAACACACACAGTTAATCTGTCCTCATCTCCACCATCTCCCCAGAGATCTGACAGGAAATACCACAGCGCACACACAGATACACACACACACACACACACACACACACACACACAAGACACAGATACACACACACACACACACACACACACACACACACAGACAGACACACACAGCGTACCGGTCAGCTCCACCGTCATGGTAACTCTGCTGCCGTCCATCACCTTCATGTCGGCGAGGCGACAGATGAAGCGTGGAGCCTCACACGCTCCTCTGACCTCTGTGACCTTTGACCTGTGACCCTGCAGCCTGCCTGCAACACAACAACACACAAAGAAGAAAATCAGATATCTGTTCAAAACTGCAGTTACAACAAAGCTAAGCTAATCAGCTAACATCATCAGGAGAACATCAATAATAATAATAATAATAATACATTTTATTTATAAGCGCTTTTCTAAATACTCAAAGACACTTTACATAAAAACATAAAAGCAGCAAAACAACATCAAATAGTAAAACACTAAAAACACATCAGACTAAGCTAAACATTAAAAGCAATTTTAAAAAGTTGAGTTTTTGTCAGAGATTTGAATGTTGGAAGGTCGGTACAGTCATGGATGTGTTTGGGGAGAGAGTTCTAGAGGGAGGGGGCAGCTACAGAGAAGGCTCTGTCGCCCCAGGTTCGGTGCTTGGTCCTGGGTGGTGGAGTCAGGAGGTTTGCATCAGATGAGTGGAGGCTACGGGATGGATTGTGACAATGCATCAGGTCAGTGAGATAGGAAGGGGCCTGGTTATGGAGGGCTTTGTGTGTGAGGAGGAGGATTTTGAACTGAATACGATGTGGAGCCAGTGGAGGTTCTGGACGACAGGGGTAATGTGGTCACGGGTGCGGGTGTGGGTGAGCAGACCAACAGCAGAGTTCTGGATGTACTGGAGTTTATTTAAGGTTTTGGATGGTGTGCTGTAGAGGATGCTGTTGCAGTAATCGATTCTGGAGGTGATGAAGGCATGGATGAGGGTTTCTGCAGCGGAGAAGGAGAGTGATGGGCGGAGTCGGGCTATGTTTTTGAGGTGAAAAAAGGCAGTTCTGGTGATTTGGTTTATGTGGTGTTCAAAGGAGAGTTTTTTGTCAAAGATGACTCAGAGGTTGCGACTGTGAGGGGATGGAGACAGGGAGGAGGTGGCGAAAGTGAGGGAGAAACTGTGTCTGGTTTTAGTGATTGATTTGGGGCCGATGATGATCATGTCTGTTTTGTCGCAGTTTGAGGAAGCTTGGTGGAAGTTGGTGTGCATCAAGGATTTAATGTCAGTGAGGCAGTTGGAGAGAGTGGAGTGAGTGGCGCAGGT